TTTTCCAGTCGCCTGCCCTGGAGACTGGTGATGTTTTGTTGACGATCGGGCCAAAATCGTCTACGGTATTGAAGCTGTAAATATTCATCAAATTGTATCAACATTTTGTACATTATACAATAACTCTTTATTAAAGTAATTGAGCTGATTTTGACTGGAATAAAATATTTTTTATTTGGAACACATCGCAATTGATCAGGAAATATTTGTTTGCTCCAATTTTCTGCGTCGATGCCGTGGGCCGGTGACCGTTGTACAATTTAAAATCAGTTTGCATTGTTTACTATGTTCTAATCATTACGATTTACTTATTTTTTTTTTTTTTGCTTTCATTCTAGATAATTATGCTCAGTGATGTAAAATTGAAGCATGACTGAATGAACGAACCTTGGCTGGCGAAGATGTATCTGGAAGTGTACACATTTGTTGGAAGTGAAAAAAATATTCAATGTAATGACAAAAATTGTAAAATCCTGTGGAATTTCTTTTGCAAATAAAAATATACTAGCAATTTTCTATTAATGGTTTATTCAAGTGGGCAAAATATAATGTACAGAAAGATTGCCCGTATACACTGAAAAGTAAGCAACCGACAGCCTGTATAAAAGGGGGGCTGTGATTGGCTGTTACTTACGCGAGATTTGAACGGGACTTACATAGGCGTCGGATCAGATGTAGGTAGGGCGGAATTATAAAAAAATAAAATCTCAAAATCAAAGTAAAATAATAAAATAAAAGGGCATTAATAACAAATATAATAAAAAATAAAATTAAAATAAGTTTATAGTCAAAATAATTAAAGCCCGTACACTACATCAGATTTTAATCAGATTGCACACATACATCATACTTGACATTATACATATGCACATCAATTTGTTTCACGATCTAATTCAAGATGGCTGAATGGCAGCCATTTTTGTACTGAAAAATCATCAAAATTAAGCATTTCTCGGCTGTTTACAGATGGATTTTGTTCAACTCGGTATATACATTGGACATTATAGGAGCTTGATGCACATCATTTTGTTTTTCAGATGAGATTCAAAATGGCCAATTGGCGGCCATTTTGCTTTAATGAATGTGGTTCTAGTGCCATATCTCTGACTTGCTTTGACTGATTATGTTCAAATTTTAAATATTCATTATACATCATGTCATAGATGGACGGATATATTGGTTCAACGATCCTATTAAAAATGGCCAAATGGTGGCCATTTTTGTGCTAAAAAATCATCAAATATCAAGCATTTATGGATGGATTTTGTTCAAACTTAGTACATGCGTTAGACTTTATGGATTCCTAATGCATGCTATTTTATTTTTCAGATTGGATTAAAAATGGCTGACTGGTGGCCATTTTGTTTTAATGAATGGGCTTCTAGAGCCATATCTCTGACATGCTTTGACTGATCAATTATCTTCAAATTTTATATATTCATTATACATCATCTTATAGATATATACATGTATTCAAAATAGCTGATTTTGTTTTAATTAATGCTGTTCCAGAGCAATATCTCTCAATGTGGACAAGTACTTGTTTGACGATCAGATACAAATGTCAATCATTTTAATGTTAAACAATCATCATAATCATATTCCTGACATGGTTATATTCCAGCTATATTACAATAAACAAAACTATATATCTTAAATTCGATAACGAAAGGGGACTGTGCCATGCATGGCTTGTTGTTTTTGAAATGATTGAAAGCTGTTTCAATTTAAAATACAAAATGCTATATGGTTTACTTAATAGACCTTCCTAGAAGTCATTGTACCATTGGTGTAGCTGTAATGAAACACTCTATTTTCCTTATAGGACTTAGCAATGGGAACTGATGTAGATGGAGAAAAGATACGTGATCAGATGAGAAATATTGTCCCTATATTGCTGGATTCTAACGTCACAGCATATGATAAGATTAGAATTATTTTACTCTACATTATCGGCAAGAATGGTAAGTATAGTTTCCACTTTTAATGGCCATTTATACAAGACTCTTTATTGTTACTTTAAGAAGGTTTAAGTCAAATTTAAGACTATATATTCTTTTTAGCTCCGCTGTTGACTTAGTCAAGCGGAGCTTATCATATGAGTGATTGTCCGTCGTCGTCCGTGTCAATGTTTTACTTTTTCGACTTCTTCTTGAAAACTACACGCCTGAATGCTCTGATACTTGGTATATATGTACCTTGGGTAGACTTCTCTTAGATTTGTTTATTCTCTAATTTTGAAGATTATTTTTGTAATTTTTGGTAAAAAGTGATATTTTCAACTTCTTTTTGAAAACCGCAAGTCCAATTGCTTTGATACTATATATATAGGTACTACAGGTAGACCTCTCTCAGATTTGTTCATTTCATGATAATATCTTCAATTCTCTAATTTTAATGAATATGTTTGTCTTTTTTGGTAAAAGGTGATATTTTCTACTTCTTGTTAAAAAACACAAGTCCAAGTGCTTTGATGTCATACATATAGGTACATCAGATAGACCTCTTTGAGATTTGTTCATTTCTAATGATATATCTGCAGAGCTATCTCAGCCATGAGGCTGCTTGTTTATTTTCTTAGCCTCTGTTTCACAAGCACTGCAACAAATAAATAAATATTCTGTTTGGTTCAGGTATCAGTGAAGAAAACCTGGCAAAGTTAATTCAGCATGCCCAGATACCAGATCAAGAGAAGTGTATCATTCCCAATATGACACATTTAGGAGTACAGATTATACAGGATGTAAGTAGAAGCACTGAACTATTCAGTGCTTAAACACTGTTGTTATACAGCTTTCAAATCTATTGTGTGTATGTGGTAAGTATATAGGAACTGAAATGAATTCAAACAAACATAAACATTACTAGTCATTGGGTGTAGATGAAAATCTTAAGCTAGATTCATATAAAGTGTTTAAGCCTGTCTTGTCTTATGAAATACAAACAATTATGGTTCATTTGTGATTTCTCTTGTGTGGTAGAGCATCAGTGGCAATTGAATTAGTTCAAAGAGTGATAGGGAGTCAGAATTTTGTTATAACATCATTATTTATGCAATATAAGATGAATTTTAATTGTGCCCAATTTATTTTTAAATTTTTTTATTTTATTTTAAAAAATTCCTTTTTTTACTCATCAACTGCCAATGAAAATGTTATCAACTAAC